TTGCTTTGCTGTGAAATAAAAGGTCTTTGTGGGATTGTATATAAAATACAACCTCAGGATCCCTTGAATGCACATATAAAACTGTCCATGGTGTTTCAGCTATGATATAAAAGCTAACTCAAAATATCAATAAATACTATAATAGTATATAAATAATACTATAAAGACACTGGTGTTAATGCCATGATATACGTAGTTCACTACCATGGTAAGACCCTTTCTTATCTCTCACAACAACATTCCTGAAAGCACTGAAATCAATGCTAAGCGTTAAGATACAACACCATAATATCCCACTGCATGTAGGTCATTCTTTCAAACAACTTCTACTTTGATTTGTAGTCAAAAGAATGCTTATTTTGTGGTGTATTGACTCTAAAATGAGACTAGGGATGAGCAGTCCATTATTTTTTAATACCCATTTTGTTAAGTTGCAACTAGTAATGTTTGCGGTGGCAGTGACCTCTGTGCTACAAGGCAATGTTCCACCATACTTAGCATGTTATTAGCTCAATCATTTCTTATAATCAATGTCCAAACACTGGTTTCAGCTTCCTCAGCCGTTCTGCTCTCCTTTAACTGGATAATTAAGCCCTCTATAATTCATCATAATCATGAGGTGTAAAAAAGTGAGCAGAAAATGATAAAGCTGGCCAACTCTCTGTGGGCGGGGAAGTTTTCATAGCTGCGCTTTAAGAGAAGGAGTGGGAAGTCAGTTTGAGAACCCTAACAAAGCCTTTTCAACCTGCTGACCCAAAGCTAATGCAACACAACTCTCTCACAGCTCCAAACAACCTAAAGCACTGTGTAAGTGTGCACGACAAAGACCAGGTAGATAAAACAGAGCGGCTGACCACAGCAGAACACAGAACAAAATCCATTGGTCTGCTCTGTCAGAGAGAGAGCGATGGAGAGAGCTAAAGCAAGCCTGATTAATGTGTGCTAGCCAAATGTGTTTGGTCAGGTCAGTGAGTAGAGCGGGGTTAAGACCTACATGCACAGACAAATGTTTAGCAGGAGGAAAGGAAAGAAAAACAGAAGAGAGACATCAGAGAAAAATAGGGGACAGCAACTCTCAACCTAATATGTAATGAATGCCTACTTAGTCACTTGCAAATGTTTAATCATTAATGAGGCACTGAGTAGTAAAAATACATAAAAAATATTAAGGAAACAGATTTTTGAAGAAAATTTAGTGCAATTCATTAGATATTGAAGATACAGTCACAGACAGGGATGCCATCTATTTTATAGTTTCTTTGTGTACTCTAAAACGCAGAATTAATAAGAACAATATACTAAAAGTTTGGGTAAGATTTTTTTGTCTCTTATGTTCACCCAGGCTGTGCTTGCTTAATTTAAAAATACAGTAAAAACAGTATAATTGGATCACGTGTGCCTTAATAACAGTATAACTTTTTTTCTTTGATGAATACAAAGGTTTTGTTTGTTTTTTTTTAACTGGATTTATTTGAAATAGAAATCTTTTGTAACATTTTAAATGTCTTTACTGCCACCAACTTTTATCAACACCAACTCTACTGACCCCAAACTTTTGAACAGTCTATTTTTCTAAATAAATATTGGAATAAACAATTCTTTTGCCAAAAAATTTTTGTTCATTATCCTAACTGTAGGCTTTCCACGGTTGCCAAGCAACGTAACAACTTTTCATATTATACATTGTTTATTTGTAGTCATTTTACTATGAATAAGTCATGTGGCACATCTAATCAAAATTTAAAGTCAGAACATTTCATTTTTACTATAGCATGAACACTATATTGACCAATCAGCATCCAGTAGAACAATCCATTTAATAAATAATACAGTATAGACTCACATAAGTAGTAAGTCAGACAGAAAACTGATGTCATTTCACATGCAAATCATCCTGCCTTTTTAAATTTAAATCTGTCCTCACTGTTTCCAAATTCATATTTACACGTACACACACAGCAGGGAAACACTCAACACGCAAACAAAACCTGAGCCCACATCCACTGCATACTATGGGATTACTGAAGAGGAAGTGACCTTTATAAGAGGTCAAATGGGCAAACAGAAAGCCAGGAGGAAAAGGAGTATGTGTTGATAGAGGTGTTGAAATCTTCCGCTGATCTGACATAGTCAGAGCCTTCACATATACTGCAAACCACAAACAACATACTCATGCAGACACTCAATGCACAAATATACACCAACCACAAAGGCTGTTCAATGATCAGAGGTATTTGTGAACACATTTAGACCTTGAAATGTCTTGTGACAGAAGTCTGACCGTCTGGCAGGAAGAATCTAGTTGAGCCGAATAAGGATAAACAACACTGATTTAGAGACTAATGAATTAGTTCCGGACATGACAGCGTTTCCTCAATAGAAATGTAGAATGTTTGGAGGAGGTGCACAGGTTTATTTTTGTCCACTTCACAGTAATATTATGTAAGAACACCTGCTGTGAAGAACATTTACAAATCACACACACACAAACATACATGCTAAAGGACAATTTTAGGAAAAGGAAATTACCAGTGCAGAGTCTGTCTTTCAGATTGAATACATTTAATCTGCAGGCATTGAGAAAATCATTTATAGAGGCAATTAACACATATCCCAATCAAATTCTTATATGATTCAATGACCCTGAAGCAGGATTTTCAGTAACTTCAACACTGTTTCTTATTTTCAGATATAACCAAATGTCAATGTGCTGTAAAATGTCATTTATAAATTAACACAATTATGTAATTAAAATATGATTAAAATATGATTACAAATTACTGTTAGTATAAAAAAACGTCTTGACTTTTGATGTCTGTACTTTAAGATTTTCAAAAATAAAGTGTTTCTTACAATGCGACTTATTTAAGAAATGAATATATCCTGAAATTTGAAAATATTTTTTCTTACTCCTTGTCTTCTTGTTTCAAGCATAAAATGCACAAATTTTTGTTTAATTAATGCTTACAAGGAAAAATGTTAATGTTAAAAAAAAAATAATAATAAAATCTTGTTTTTAGAATGTGTAATATTTTACTCGGAAAAAAAGACAAAATAATAAGAAAATGACTTTTTTCCAGAGAATGGATTTTGAAATTCTGAGAACAAGACCTTAAATGCAGAAAAGGCATCTACCTAATGCATAAATTAGATAAAAAGAGTAATCACAGCACAATTTTTATAATTTGTACAACCACATAAAACATCTGTAGGAAAAAACGTCATGCTGATTATTTGTGGCTAATGAATATAAATTAATTTTACACAAAATTAAAAAGTCATATTACACAATCATGTTTTCTTCATTTAAGGGTGTTAAAAAATTCACCAAACTCAGCTGTGAGGTGAAGGCCACAGGATATTTCTGAATATTTTTTAGCTTCAGACTTAATAGGAAATAGAGATTACACACCACAGCATATCTCATATTGTTTAACCCAGAGGCCATTTAATAAGACCGCTGCCATAATGAGGCTCATTAGCACTACAGCATGTTTACCTCAGGAACCTGCTGATAAATGCAAGCACAAGAAACTCATATAATGTGCATGTGGGGGTGGAGAGAGCGTGGGTGCCATAATATGCCTGTTGTTAGCTGATCATGTCTGCTCAAGGTGTACTCTCATTTGTGCAAAACTGTGTCCAAATGTGAGATGAGACTTAAAGCCAATGAGGTCACGCTTGCTCAAGGTCACTCTGAGAAAACCTTCATCCTCATTTGAAGGGAATCAAGACTCATCAACTGTCCTTTACACAGTCACGCCAACTGTCACCCAGGATCCTCAACAGCGGGGGAGACCAACAATCACAGGGAAAGAAAAAAGACAGAGTGATTGAGAGAGAGAAAAGGAATAAATCATGAAAAGACAAGTGTATGATTGCTAAAGAAATGTTCAGGGAGGAAATCCCCATGGCAACGCCAGGAAACCACATGCTTTCACCATGGCAACAAAGCCTGGGAATGCTAATGTCAGAGAGTCTGTTGAGTGAAGGGAGAGAGAAAATGGATAATATTCAATACAGAATATTAAGATATCATACAAGCAAGCAAATGTTTAAATGTTTTAACCTGTAAAGGTTTGGACATAATCAGAGCTTTATAATAAGCCAGTTTTCATGATCAGTGTTTTTCTCCATGTAAATGCATTCATTAACTGCATAGTAAATCACATATGAAGGTCATGTGAAACATGAAATCTAGGTGAGGGAATCCTCTTTGGTCCTGAATTTGTCCTACATATGATACATACACACTCACACATACAGTCACTCAGACACACAACAGCCCTCCCTTGCCCCAAAATCTCAGTGTCCTAAAAACTATTTGTAGCATTTGCCCACTCCTCTGTCTCTAGTTCAGTACCCCATTCTCAACCTCCTTCATCATGACCTCTTTCTTTTCAGCACACCTTTTTCTCAAAAACACGCTCATGTAAACACACACATACATACACACACACACACACACACACACACACACACACAAGTCACATTATGAGTGGTTTATATAAAGTAACTCAGTCCACACCATCACAGTCTTAAAAAACGTCTTAATATAAAAGTTTTAGCAAAAAATAGCATTTAATAACATTGTAAAATAGAAGAGAATGAGGGCTAAGTGAAGAATAATAATAACCCATGATAAAAAACCATAATAAAAATTGTAACCTAAAATGCCAGTCTATGTGTGCAAAACCAGGTCAATGACAATGTTAACACATCCATTTTGCCCTCAAGAGGGTGCTGTGATGGTTAATTCTTCCAATGACAGAAAAATGTAGTGATGAACAATAAAATTCTGTCATCAAACTTGTATGAACAGACTTTCTTCTGTGGAACACAAAAGGAGATATTGTGAGAACACGCACACACACACACACACACACACACACACACACACAAACACACACACACACACACACATCCTGTCTCTCTCTCTCGCAGACGCACAAGGTTCATCTTCCTCCCTGAAGGCTCCTGCTGAGTATATGGCTCAGAGGCAGGAGTCTCTCACAGCTGGACTGGAAAGACAGTGTCTTTGTGTGTGCTTCAATATCTCTGTCTCTCTCACAGACATCAGACTAGACACTGATCTATCAACAGACAAAAAAAGTAGCAATAATATGTGTTACATGGGTCTCTGAAACAGGGTTATTATAGTTAACTAAAGCCATAAAAAAACACGTTTGTTACTTGAAATTAAACAAACATTAGCTAAACTAAACTAAAAAAAAAATTCAATAAGGATCTTATTTTAGATTTTAAATAAAATATACATTGAAAACTTATTTTATTTCAGCATTTTTTCAGTTTAACTTGATGTAATAAACTACTCAAATTGACAAAAGTTAATAATTAATAATAACTATGAACATATTTAAAAACAAAAACGAATAAAAAAATGACAAAATTAAAAAGGAAAATCTAAAAAATAAAAACCATTTTAAAATAATAACAAAAACTACAATAGTATCTAAATGAGACACAATGTACAATGACCGCTAAAATGCATCACTGACCATATAATCCTATATAATCCTACATAGTATTACTGTCTGTCATGTCACTCTTATAATAAAATAATTTCAATTCAAATCAATATTTAATGGCAATTTATTATTTATTTGTTAAGCAGCCATGTAATAAGAGGGATGATGGTCACTATCATAAAATAAAACTCAACAGGGTGCTAAAAACCTGGACTAAAACAGTACCTTATCACTTACATGCAAATATAGAATGATAGCATTATATAAGAGTACTGACAAAAACACCCATCATGAGTTTGAGTCCTTCCATTCCACAGTGTTTGTTCCTTCAGCCAATCAGGGCAGCTCACATGTGCCTCTTAATAATTTGCCACTAATCACTTCTTTCATTAAAGTGTCTACCCCTGAGGATTTGGGTTTGAATTGAGATTTTATCCCGGGGACTAGGCCTTCTTTATTTCTCTGTAATTAGACAGCCTAGTTAAGCTTCATTGGCCTGTTGAGAGCTTGTTTTTAAATAGTTCTTTTGAGGAGTTGAATAAAAAAAACAAACTTTATAACAATTTTTGTTTTCACTTTGTGACTGAATATCAAAATTTTCTGTGCAGACAATGCTAAATAGCCTAGTATATATGAACATTAGAATAACATTTAAATTTCATTATTTTTTGTGCACCACACTTTTGTCTCTCTCATAATGTCTGGTTGGCGAGTAAAATGTAAGTGATGCTGTCACCACACTGACTTAAACCTGACATCCGCCTGTATGTCTTCCACGTATGACAGTCAGCGGAAGTGAGAAAAAAGTGTTTATTACGTTAGAAATATGGATATTTATCTTACAAAAATGCATGGATTCGCTACAGGAGGCCTTTATTCACCTCTTTTTGAGCCGTGTGAGGGACGTTTTATTACGGATGCGCGCACTTTATTTCACGTCTTCTAAACTGCTGACAACCAACACCCGCTTAGCCCCATTGAAAGGCTTGGAGGGGCCAGGACAATTTTCAATATAACTCCAATTGGATTCGTCTGAAAGAAGAAAGTCACATACACCTAGGATGCTTTGAGGGTGAGTAAAACACGGGCTAATTTTCATTTTTGGGTGAGCTAACCCTTTAAAAAAACAGAGCTCTCACTGGTGAACATCCGATTTACACTTACTAAATACAGCAGTCCAACTGTGACGCCACGTGGTGAAACGAGTATTGCATGCATGTATGTGCATGTGTGTACAGACCCTCATAGTATGGAATGACAAACCTGACAAAGTTAGAAATAAATAAATACATAAATAAATATACAAAGAAATGTAAAATAAATAAATAAATAAATATACAAAGAAAGGTCAAAAGAAAAACAAAAATAAATTATTGTTTATACATTTATTTCCTTATTTATGTACGTGTTTATTTTTTTCCACATTTATTTGTTTTTCTTTTATGTATTTATACATGTACTGATTTCCACATTATGTATTTATTTACGTATTTATTTCTATATTTATTTATTTCCATATTTATTTATTTATACATTACTTTGTCTGTAGGGTAATGAGGAGGGTGTTTTACCTAAAGTAATCGGAGCCAGAGTAGGCAAGGGGTAAGCTTTGAGGCCACAGTGACACCTTGTGTTGTGCCCAAACGAAATACAAGTGTAGCCTACATGATGTGTCTGTTCATGATGTGTCTGTTGATAGCGGCGAATGACTAAGATGGGAAATTAATTTAATATCACCTTATCTGTATGTATTGGCTCTTACGGAGCCCCTTAAGGGACATATTGGTGGGAAAATTACGGGGTGGGAGGAAAAAAAATAAATGTAGAAATAAATACGTAAATAAATACATAAATGTATAAATAAATAAAAGAAAGATAAACGTGGAACAAATTAAAATATACATAAGGAAATAAAAGTATAAATATTTTTTTTACTTTTCTCTTCATATTTATTTATATATTTATTTTTGCTTTTTTGTACATTTCTTTGTATATTTATTTATGTATTTATTTATTTCTAATTTTGTCAGGTTTGGCATTCCATATGACAGACCACACACAAACCAAACATATGTTTGCTACAACATAATTATACTTACTGTATTTGCGTATATTGGAAAGTTTGTGGAATTAAAACACAAGTCTATAGCACTGAACATCATGAACTGGAAGGCTGTTTCAGTAGGGTCTTTTAGGACAACCTATAGAGTGAAACGATAACATTTGTTCTGAACCCACTACCAGTGATTCTGTAGCCATAAACATAGTGGAAAAATGTGGGGAAATGACTGTTCCCCACACAATATTAAATGAACAAACCTCGCACGCGCATTCACACTCGGACAGACGCCATGCTCCCGCTCCTAACCGCCCTACCATCTGATTGGCTAGTTTGAAGTCCACCGAAAACTCCGATTGGCTGCTTTTGAAATACGTCTACGCGGCCAGTTTGAATCAAGGAACTCGCAGTTCATTGAGGTACACAACCTCCGCACGCTCTTTATGTTCTCAAAGAACTTCGTCAAGATATCGGAGGAAAATACCAGAGTTTGGTTATTCATCCAGATTCGATATAGTTATAGAGAAGGTGAGTGCTAATATATGAAAATGACTGCCTGTTATCAATTTTGATTCTGATCGCTGAACGTTTTAAATTTGCTCAGGCCCCACTGGGCAAAAATCCCTGAGTCATTTATCTTCAGCATGCAATTTATACTGTAATCTTAATTTAAGGAGAATCGTTTGATTAGCATGATTTACAAATATAGATCCTGAATAAAAGCTGATCGCTATATTTATCGCTTTTCCCTTGGTTTTAACACGTTTCTGTCGCATCTTGATTTAAAGTGGTCACATTGGTTGATTTGCCAAACATGGATATAAAAATGTGAAGCACAAAAATTATGAATCATCAGAAATTTCAATGTATTGTATAATGTTTGCGATGTCAGGACTAACGTCAGAAAGGTCAGTCTTTTATGCCTCGTGAGTATGTGTATTTACGTTACACGGCACATCTTATATGAGATAGTATGTTTAAAACAAATCTGAGCAAGTGTGTTGAAAATAAGTTTGTTTGACACATCTAGATTGTTGATGGCACATTATTTTTTGCAGTATCATTCAGTATGTTAAGCTGTCATAAACTTACGTTTTTTTCAATCTTTTGTTTTTCTTCAAAGTATTGAGAAAATGGATGACTATCTGAAGATAGAGAAAATTGGTGAAGGTAAGTTGAATCTTTCTTCGTGTAGAGTCAGCTGACTAGTGTTGTCACCTGGCCTCTCTCTCAATGTGTCCCTTGTAGAGTTTGGTTCAAGGCAGAATATGAGAGTCCCTGTTAGATTTTTTTCTGTAGATATGTGTGTGTCTGCTCCTTAGGTACATATGGTGTGGTATATAAGGGCAGGAATAAAACCACTGGACAGGTGGTTGCTATGAAGAAGATCCGCCTGGAGAGTGAGGAGGAGGGGGTTCCCAGCACTGCTGTCAGAGAGATCTCCCTCCTAAAGGAGCTCCAGCACCCCAACGTTGTACGGTAAGACACTGAGAGTTTTCATTACATCTTTATGATTATCTACATAAAACAGAACCAAAACCCCTAAGTTGTACTACTTGGAATTCTATATTCCAAAAGATTATGTTGATAAATATGTATTTATAGTGACATGTTTTCTGCTGAGTTCAACTTAACGCTTTATAAATCAAGTTGTCCTAACCAACAAAATGACTTCTGTATATACACTACTGTTCAAAACCTCTTTGTTTTTTGTTTTTTTTGTAATGGTTTTTAAAAGAAGTCTCATATGCACACCAGGTGCTGCATTTATTTGTTAAAAATGTAGTAAAAACAGTAGTATTGTAAAACTTAAATAACTGTTTTCTATTTTAATATATTTTAAAATGTAAATGTAATAAAAACAGCTGCTTTGGAAAATGATGGTTTCCAGTTTCATTACTGCTTTATGTATGGACACATACCTCCTCTGTTCCCTTTTTACAGCCTGCTGGATGTGTTGATGCAGGAGTCAAAGTTATACCTGGTGTTTGAATTTCTGTCCATGGATCTGAAGAAGTACTTGGACTCCATCCCATCAGGCCAGTTCATGGATCCCATGCTGGTCAAGGTGCATTAAATAGTGTACAACATTAAAAGATACAACTTTAGCTTAGCTTATGTGATTAATAAATGGTGCAGAATATTTAAATATTTTTCCTTTATTTATGTCACAACTTTTTTAAAATTATTATTATTATTTTTAAAAAATCATTATTTAAATCTTATTTTAAATTCCTTTTTTTCCAACGTAGACCTTTGAAACCTTTGTACTGATGTGTCTGCTTCATAATACAGTACCGTTTGAAGTTTATTTTTATTTTATTTTTTTTATGAAATTAATACTTTTGTTCAGCAAAGATGCGGTAAATTGACCAAATTATAGTAAAGACTTTTATAATGTTACAAAATTTGTTTCAAATACATTTTATTTTGAACTTTCTATTCATCAAAGGAAAACTGCATCAAGGTTTCCACATAAATATTAAGCAGCACAACTGTTTTCAACATTGATAAAAATAAGAAATGTTTCTTGAGCACCAAATCAGCATATTAGAAAGATTTCTAAAGAATCATGTGACATTGAAGACTGAAATAGTTGTAATAATATTTCACAATATTACAGTTTTACTGACTTTTTACAGTTTTACTTTGGTGAGCATAAGAGACTAAGTTCAAAAACATTTAAAAGTCTCACCAACCCCAAACTTTTAAATGGTAGTGTCAACACATTCAGATTAGTTTTTCATGCTCCAAAATGTATCAATTCTACTACTTTCCCCAGTGTTTTGATTTATGTCAAATTGTACAGTAGATCCCAAGTATAGAGTCTGTCCCTGGAAGTAATTGTAACTGTATGTGTGTGTGTGTGTCCTCTCTGTAGAGTTACCTGTATCAGATCCTTGAGGGGATTCTGTTCTGCCACTGTCGCAGGGTTCTGCATCGTGACCTAAAGCCCCAGAACCTGCTGATTGATAATAAAGGTGTGATTAAGCTGGCAGACTTTGGGCTGGCACGTGCCTTTGGCGTTCCGGTCAGAGTGTACACACATGAGGTACATGACAGCAATTTCTCCTTTCTCAAAACGTTCTGTAATCAATCAGGCTGATGTGTTTGTTCTCACTGTGATTGCAAAGGTGGTCACTCTGTGGTACAGAGCTCCAGAAGTCTTGCTGGGGGCCTCTCGTTATTCCACGCCCGTAGATGTCTGGAGTATTGGTACCATCTTTGCTGAACTTGCTACCAAGAAACCGCTCTTCCATGGAGACTCAGAAATAGACCAGCTCTTCAGGATCTTCAGGTATACAGACTTCTGGAACAACTTTGATATTGTTACTAGGGATGTTCATTTTAACCGGTTAACCGTTAACCGACCGTAAGAATTTTTGACCGATCAATACAATCAGTAAAAAAGATTTCTTTTTTTTTTTTTTTCAGTAATTTATCAAAATATTAAAAAAGGTTTGCTGCATGGTTAAAATATGCTACGTGTATATAAAAAAAATTGCGTTTTTTACACAAAAAAACGCAAGTCACGTGTAAGTCGCATTTTATTATTTCATTCAGAAATGGGCCTAATGCCGACGCGAAATGTTTACAAACATTATAATAAACACTGTAAACATAGCTAGGCTATTTTAGCTCCCCTCACTCCACAACAAATCCTTTCAATTAACAGTATTTAGAAAAGAACAAGAATTAAAAATATAAGAAGCTATAGCAATATAAACGACAAGCCAAAACGAATTCGTTTAGGCTAAAACGAAACTGAAACCAACGTTGGGTGTCTCATTCGAAACAAAATCAAATGTTTCCGTATTCACGATGTATTTGAATGCCAAATTATTATTTATTATGCAGCCTGCTTCACTGGCGTTCCAATATCCACGTAAAACAAAATGTTTTTCATAACATCACGGCGGTACGGTGATAATGCGTAACGGCAGAGATTTTACTACATATTTAAACTGAGCAGTGTGGGGTTTTTTTTCCATATGTTTGACTGACTATATTTTATTATGATAATGAACAGGCTGCATTGTCCAGGTAGCAATGCTTAACTGTGTGCGCACATGCGGCTCCGGCGCAATCACTTGAGTTTTTCCTTCTAACAGTGGAAGCAACTACTCCTTTTAGTCCTAAAGATAATCGGAATTATAAAAGGTTTGCTTTTATTTGTGTACATTCACAATAAAAACAAATCTTTGTGCTTTTGTAAAATAAGCCTAAAGAAAAATAGGATGCCGCTTTCTGCCGTCTGTTTCCTTTTGCGCAGCATAAAAATGAACCGAAACTCTGCATACTAGGCTAGGCTACTTGTTGCACAGTTTTTCTTTCGTTTTCTTAATTTATTATTTAAGTAAAAATATATTTCTTTTATAGGCCTTTTTATTATTATATTACTATATTATTATTATTTATATATATATATATAGCCTAGTTTTAGTATGTTTTTCTCCGCTCGCAGAAGCGTTGCAGGTGTGTGGTGTGATATGATGACCACGTGAATCCTCATGTTCTGTTGTTTGCTGCTTTTTGCGCATGTAAAATTAATCCCCGGGAAACAAATGTTAGTATTTTTAACTGGTCACAGACACTTAATCCTTTCTAATTTAATTCAATTCTAATTTAAAATAATCTTGTCGGTTAACGGTTAATAATCGGTTAACGAGCGTCGGTTAGGAAAAATAACCGAAATGAACATCCCTAATTGTTACATCCTAAGACTTTCACAGAATAATGTAAGTGTTAAATGGACAGATAGGGCTGGGCTAATGCTAACAAAGTGAATTTATGTATGTCTGTGCAGTTGTCAGCAGGGCATGCATTTTATTGTGATGCCTGTAGTTGCATCTTTACATTTAAAATCTTAGGGTTGGGTTTCCACCCAAGATAGTGCTTATAATGATTGATGAAAAAGTTAGTGATGCACAATATATTGGTTCCATCAGTTGTCGGACAGTATTAAAGATTTGCTTCTTTTTTTTTATGTATTGGTATCACTTGATAATTAGATATTTATGCTTGCTCTTTTTTTTTTACTTTCATTTAGATTTTAATTTGCCATCTAACTCTTACTTAAAGTCTGATAAATGTTTATTTTGAAATGTATTAACATCTATTCTTCTCATACTGTACATTGGGTAAATTCACCAGCTATGTACATACAAATGAGACATTTTCTGTGGTTCATTTATATTTAGGACTCTGGGAACCCCTAACAATGAGGTCTGGCCAGATGTTGAGTCGCTGCCAGATTATAAGAATACCTTCCCAAAGTGGAAATCTGGGAATCTGGCCAGCACTGTGAAAAACCTGGACAAGAAC